TGGCTCCAAAGGGGTGAATTGTGAGATCCCATAATCATACCTTGATGTGAAGCTCGGCCTACGTGCCAGAGTTGACAGAATATGACGCTGCCTTTGGCATGAACAGCATCCACCACTGTCTTCCATGCTTGCACCTGTTCTTCCGTGTAAATTCCAGGAACATGTGGAAACCTGCCTAAGTTCAGTTTCAACTCATTTTAACTTATTTTATAAAAAAAAAAAAAAAAAATGTTTTAAGAACAAATCTTATCTTAAATATTAAAGATGCTTAGATTTCGTTATTTAAGCTAAGTAGGAATGTTCGTCAGCTGAGTCGGGATCCAATTATTATAAACTCAACTATAAAAATATTGGGTTTGATTGGTTCAGGTTGTTTTTTATTATTTATTTTAATTATTTTTTATAATGAAGGTTAAAAAGGTTAATATATAAAATATTTATTTATTTATTTATAAATATTAAATTAAGATTATTCACCTAATTTGAAAAATTATATTTTAAAGCCTTAATATATGCACTCCACAAAATATTCACAACTTTTTAATTCAGATTAATTTACGAAAATTATTTTTATTTGCTATCAAATCATATGAGTGACGAAAAATACCAAATTATGCCATTTTTTTAGAGAATCTTTTCCGAATCTAAAAAGGAATTACGGTCATTTTTCTAATCAAAGCAATAAATATTTATTTAATCCATTAATGAAAATACCTTAAATTTTGTAATTGTTGCAATCCCAAAATTTAAAAAACTTAAAATTTCAAATTTTCATTATTATTCTTTTTTTTTTTTTAACACTTTTAAACTTTTTAAAAAATTTAAAAATACCATTAAAAAGTTGGAGGTAATCTATAAAGGGACTGTAACAACTTTTTTGAAATTTTTGTTATAAAGATAAAAAGTGTTAGTATCCCTTCAAAATTTCATTGGTATTTTTAAAATATAGTAACAATAGTAAATGTATTTTTAAATTTTCTAAGAAATAGAAGATAATTTTAAAGTATTTTTAAAATATTATTGAAAAGTTTGTATATTTTTTAAATAAAATATTAACAATTTTTATTAAAAAAAATGATAAAAGTAAAAGTATTTTTTAGAATTCGATATTTTTATTAATTTAGTTATTTTTTTATTCAAACAATAACTTTGTTTTTCAATATTATAACTAATAATATAAATATTTTTTATAAATATTTATTCAAACGAAGCATGTTGTTATACCTTCCAAATTTGTTAATAAGGCAATAATTTAAATTTGTTAATAAAACGTAGGACCCACCAATTTGGCCCCACCATTGCTTGCCGCGCTCCCATAATAATTACTCCTAAAATTACCAAATAGCCCTCAAACTGATCAAAATTCCACAACTTACCCAGCCGCCGTGGCGGAGATCGAAGTTCCTTCGCTGATTAGAAACCCGCCGTCCGTAGACCTCTGAGTGTAATATTTGGCCAGCGCCGCTCCCGGAATCCCATTCAAAGCTCTGCATCTCGTCATCGGCGCTAGAACTACTCTGAAAATCCGTCACCAGATCCACCGCCAAACACACATAAAAACAACAATCCATCAATCAATCGATCGATCGGTTCCGAATCAAACTCCGGCGAAACCTCTGTCTCCGAAATCGAGGACTGAAAACAGAGGATCGGCGGAAGTAAGAGATAAAAGAGATCGAACCTGTGAGAGAGATCGAACTTCCCCATCCTGAACGGAGAGAAGAGAGTAGCGCTTCCATTTCTCGCCGGAGTTTCAGCCATTTTCAATGAGTTGGGATCAGAATTTGCCGACAGCTACGAGATGTGGGGAGCTTTTATGGAGCTTCTGGCCTAATATACAAAGGCGTTTCCTCGTTTTAAGTGGGAGTGGAGAATTTGATCAAGGAGTTGCAGTCCAAATATTTTTGACTGGTCGGCGAAGGAGATAATAATCTGGTGCATCCGAGTCTAGGTTTGGAGCTGTATGTACGAGTATAGACCGTCGGATGAAGCTTGATTGTGTAGGTCGGTGGATCCAAGTCAAAGTTAGGGTTTGAAAATGAATTAAGGTTACAAAAATCAATTTTTACTCTTTTTTTTTTTCAATTAACATTCTCGATTATTATATAATTATATCAGATAAAATTTTGAACTTTTATAAATCAACCTTTAATTTTTAAAATTACTATTTGAAAATTATTCATTATTATATAAACCATTCAATTATAAAAAGAATCGAATCATATAAGTTAGTATACTTAAGAGTCACGTTTCAATAATACCCCTAAATTATTAGCTTTATTTCAATAATACCTTAAACTTCAAAAGTTTCAAAAATGTCTCTGCCAAAAAATACTTTTCACATTAAGTTTGGGATGAAAATGTCAAAGTTTCATTTTAATAATATTCTTAAACTTTCAAAAGTTTTAAAAATACTCAACCTATGAAAAAATGTTAAATCTCGTCATTTATGCTTTTATTAATCATCAATGTCCATATTAACTAGAAAATTTATTACCACCCAACATTATGTTAATTAATAAACTGGGGTGCGAGACATGATCGCGACTGAAGATTCAAATGTCAATACCTTGTACTATGGAATAAAATGAATTATCTAACACAATTTAAACTTATTTATATACATCAAAATTCAATAACCTAACACAAACTTTTAAATGAGGCCTACGATACCGTTTTTAAAAGGAGTTAATACAAATTTAAAAGGTTAAACTTATTTATATACATCAAAATTCAATAACCTAACACAAACTTTTAAATGAGGCCTACGTTTTTAAAAGGAGTTAATACAAATTTAAAAGGTTAGGTCATGAAAATCAATTCATACACCTAAACTTCATGTGTTCATGTGTAGTAATAAAAAAAAATGTAACTAATAATGGTATCAATTTAAACCTTTAACTATTATAAAAGTATTGATTTATACTTTCAATTCACTTCCATTTAGATGATCTAGATTGATTCATTCATCATCAATTTCAAATAATTAATGATTATCAAATAGACCTTTTTACATTTGTTTCTTTCTGAATCAATCAATCAATCTTACAAACTTTACCAATAGTATGAACGAATCCGTTACTTTAATAAAAATGTGTAAAAGAAGTTGGTCTCCACGTAAAAGTTGAATACTCTACCATTAAGTTAACATCTTCAAAAACATATATATAAAAAAAAATGTAGACTCAGAATCAAAATAACAAAAAGAAAATAAATTGCACCATGTAATCACAAAAAAAAAAAAAAAAAATACAATGAGAACATCATGTATATGATGTGGAGACTGCAAATAACCATTAGTTCATAATTAGTTCATAAAGAATAAACCGACACGAGATTGAAAACTTAGGAATTCAAATGCAATCTAAACCAAATTTTAACCACAAAAAAGGTAGTTTTTCCAAGTTTTTTTTAGAGATATAATAAAAATTTTAGAAGGTATTGATTTTTGCCCTAACTGTCCATTTAACCTAATAGTAATAATAACCATAAGAAGAATAATAATAACAATCCAAGTAATCCAACAAAGAATGATGAAAAAGTAAAATAGAAAAAGGGAAGTTGTTTTTAATAGGAAAAGTAAGTTTGTCAAAGTTTTTCGAGAGGGGTCCCTTTGTTTGTACCTGAAAAGCTATGCATGTGGTTGAATCAGCCATTCATTCAGATTCAAATAACAACTGAGCTGGAGTACCATCTCTCTCAACAAATGCCAAACTTGGATGGAACACAACCATCCCAACACATTTAACTTTCTTCCAAACAAAACCCAAATCTATCCAAATCCACTCCTTGCTTCCCATTTCTCAACCCAGCCTTCCACCTCAAATTTATGATTCTAATTCATCCTAAACTAAAAGTTTTGATTAAGGTTTCGGGTAATTTAACATGATATTAGACCGAGAAGGTAAGTTTGAGCTCCTACTACTACAATGTTGTTCGACTCACCGCTTAAAAAACTCGCCTCCCCAGCTTCCCCAGCTTCCCCAGCCATGCATTTACTTCTACAAATCTTCTAAACAGTACCAACCAAAGCACAGGTCACATACATGCATGTTTCTACTCTATTCCTTTAACGATCCAAAAACTACTCTTCTAAAGTGTTCTAAGAACCAAACCCTAATCAGCTAATAGAGAACTAAAGAGAGATGTAGAAATAACTGAGCAGTAGAGTTAAAGAGATTAGAAGAGCAGCAAGCCAAAAGGTAAAATACTTCTGTAGTAAACTGTAAAGTGGAAGGCACAGAGCACAGCAAAGCAAGCAGTTGGGAAATAAAACAAAGCAATTTCAGCATCAGCCTGAAACACAGAAGGAAAAGGATAAAAAGAGAAGGGTGTATTTTCTGTTTTTATCGGAACTTAAAAGACCCTTCTTCCTGAGCTGCTGAATCGCTCATTTTTTACAATTTTCGAAATTGCAAAAAGGCCAAATGGGCAAGTGTGGGTTGCCGGGAGGAAGTCTGCAAAATCCTGAGGAAAAGTAAAAGAGTTGGAAGCAGACAGTAAAAGCTCGCACCGTACAAACAAACAAAAAAATTTCTTCTTCTCAGGCATTGGCTTCTGACAACAACTCTTTTGTGTCACATTTTATAATAAATTCTCTTAAATCTGTATTTACACTGCTATTTATTTCCCCTTGCTTTCGTTTGTGGGTTTCTGTAGAGATGTCAGAGACAAGAGCTGCAAAAAAAAAAAGCCAGTTTCCCTCCTCAACCAGAAGTTACAGAGAGATGCAGTCATAATATGAACACTTGAACAGGCAAGAAGAGAGATAGAGAGGTGGGCATGCAACACCATAATCAGAACCATTAGTTTATCAATTGCTGAAGACTCTGCAACCCAAATGGTCTCTGAAATAAATATACAGTTCAGGGCATACACGATACTTAGAGGGCTCTAGTAATAATCTAAACAGAGGAGCCTCCCACTCCCTGGCCTGGTTTTATCATCTCCCTGGAGCTGTCTTGCTTGCGATTTGAAGTTCTTTGTTGTTTCTCTCAACTGATAAATAGACTTATTTTTATCTATTTCAAGTATGTGCACCAGAAGTATGTTTCCCTTCACCTCAGCTCAGTGGCAGGAGCTTGAACATCAAGCTCTCATCTTCAAATACATGGTTTCCGGCATTCCTATACCTCCAGATCTCCTCTTCAGTATTAAAAGAAGTACCTTGGACTCTCCTTTCACTTCTAAGCTTCTCCCCCACCATCCTCAACATGGTAAATAAATATCTCTCTATCTCCCTCTCCCATTCTCTCTCTTTATCTCTAGAAATGTTTCTGTTTCATGCAGTAGGGTGGAACTATTTGCAAATGAGTTTAGGGAGGAAGATAGACCCAGAACCAGGGAGGTGCAGAAGAACTGATGGGAAAAAGTGGAGATGCTCAAAAGAGGCGTATCCAGATTCGAAGTACTGTGAGAGGCACATGCATAGAGGCAAAAATCGTTCAAGAAAGCCTGTGGATGTTTTGAAAACGACAGCAACAAATGATATTAACCGCCTTTCAAATCCAGCGTTTTCTTCCCTAACCAACAATTCATCCTTACTCTCCTATCGGCCCTTCCCCGCTCATCAAATATCTTCAACTTCTAATGGGAATGGCATATCACCCCAAGACACTAATACCCTCTTGCTTCTGGAATCTGGTTCTTACTCGGACAGAAACCCAGATTACAGGTTTGTAGACTATCTACTCTCTTTGGAGTTGGAGATTAATATTTAGTATTGAGATTCTGACTTTTGTCCATCTTCTGTTATTAACAAGAAGTAGGGACACTTATGGGCTAAAAGAGAAAGTAGATGAGTATGCCTTCTTCTCGCAAGAACCATCTGAAACTGCTGCAAGAGCCGATTCTCTGCAACTGACACCACTAACGATGAGTTGTTCTTCTCTATACCCAAAACAGAACTGCTCTTCTTTGCAGAATGATCAGTCCTGCTATCAGCTTCATCAGAGCCTCACAGACCCTTTGAAGCAACAAAAGAGAGAGGAATCACAGAAGACAGTTCATCGATTCTTCGATGAATGGCCTCCAAAAGAGCTCTGATCACGGCTTGATTTCGAAGATAAATCATCAAATACTGGCTCAGTTTCCACCATTCGGCCCTCAACTTCCATTCCCACCACTTCCAACGACTTCCCCATTTTCGGATTCAACAACCCATAATGAAACCTGGCCCCGAACTCCTTTTTTTTTTTTTTCCTTTTCTCCAAAGTCGGTTTGTTCCTGTGCCTTATCTCCAGGGTGACCCCAGTTGTTCCTTATTGAATTTTATTTGGTTTCCTAGGATGTACTTTCGGCTGAGCTTCATCCCATCTTTTTTCTTATGTAGGGTGGGGTTCAATTGGGCCATGGGTTGTTTATTAAACGAATGTTCCATCGTTTTTTATTCTAGTGTAGACTTTTCTACATCATTTCTTACTAGAAGGGTTTTGATCCCTCCCTTGGACACTGCATAGGCATGGAAATCAAATCTACTTCCACTGATTTGGACGGAATGGATCAATATGCACATTTAAAGTATGCTATTTCAACCTTATGTATACTAAAAAAAATCAGTCTACCTGATTAAATCAATTGAAGGGAAGATGATATCAAGTTCAACTTCCCCCAACTTCTTCCTCAACCTTCAACTTCATTTGATCTACCTTTTCCAGCAATTACTATTTTCCATATAGAGGGAAAAAAATAGACAATCTGCTGGTTAGAAAGAGGAAAAATAAAGATGCCAAAATGATAACAGTTGTAACTTTCAACATCAATAGTTTTACTGCTCATCATCAATGGTTGACACACAAATAGGAACGTTTCCATATTTAAACAAAATATATTTTGTAAAGCATTGCAAGAAAAAGTAGACAATGCTCATCAATTCTTCCACTGACCTGTCATCGATATAATGAAAATCCAGAGTTGCTGCAGAAAGGGTGTTGTCGGCACATAAAACAACGCGTCCCTGAAGATTCCAACATTAGGGATAAAGATTGGCTTCAGTTGCATTTATTAGCAATAAATAAAGATCAAGTTGGGAGACAACCTTCGAAAATCTTTAATATCCTGTTGCACAAAATGAAAATCCATCTATTCTTCTTCTAATTAATCACCGGTAAATTTTACATGATAAAAGTGAAAATACAGTTTCATTATTCTAATAATGTATTAATCCCTGAAGCAATTTATCAGTCCGACTCTCTAAATTGCAGTTCTAATAGAACCTCTAACCATATGAATACAAAACAAATTTTACTATGTTGAGAGCCTATCAGATGATAAAGAGAAAAACATTCTAAAATTTACTCTTCTTCTGGCCGTAATATCATTAAAGGTTTAGGTAAGACATTGATGCCTCGGGACACTGGGCAACAGAAGCAGCCAATGTAGGTGTGGTAATAATCCGTCAAGCTGCTGCATTTCACCTTAACTAAGGGAAGTTGGTAGAACCCGATTTGAATATCTTTGCCGAACCAAGTTCGAGAGTTAATAAAGGCATATTGTTTGGATTACTGCCATCTCATCTGATTTCTCCATCACTACCCTCTAGTCCAGCGGAGTTTTCTCTTTCAAGTCTGGACTTTCCCTGCGTGTGCATAGGCTCATCATCTTCCGATTCCGACCATGTGGCCCTTCGTCGGCCTGCGTTCGATGAAGGTACACCCTGCAACTTCAAAGACCAAAAATTAACTAAATAACCCAAACTAATCAAACAAAATACCCAAAAAGGTGTATAATATACAAAAAGAAAAACCACTTTGGAAGAGTAGAGAATGACAGTTACACTGATTAGCAATTCAACCTTAACAATAGCCGACCATTAGATTTAGAAAGGACAGGTGAAGGGAGTAAATTGACTCTAAATCATGATCATGAAGAGACTCGTAGAGATTCAAATACTTATTAAAATGAACACGTCGTAGACTCAAAATTAGATGCAATAATTTATAGCAAGAGGCAGTATCAAGAGAATCTACTTGAGTTCAGATCAGAGATGCCAATCTTGTCTCAAAGATAATATCGAGGTAGTAAAAAGATATTACCGCTTCATCCTCAGCATCAGAATCTTCAAGCCCAGCTTCAGCAAGAGCGTCCTGATCATTCCCTTCTACATCATCGTCCTGATCATTCATTTGGCTGTGGGACTCCCTATAATTTATGTTATTATCCTCATTGTCTAGTTCTTGATCATCCATCATATCATTATCAGCCTCCTCTGTCTCATAATGCGATTTCCCCTTCCTGTCTTTCTTTCTCCTCTTTCCACCTTTCCTTCTCCTCTTTTCACTATTACCAGCTTCATCGTCATCAATCTCTGACCTTTCTCTTCGTTTAGCAGGTGCGGTGCTCTTCCATTGCTCCTGGAGGAAAATTAAATGAGCTACTCGAGGTATCAAGTAAAAGATAGTCATCCAAATAGCATGCAACAAAACATGACATCAACTTCTATTGACAGAAAGTGTGCATTACTCAGCACCACTAAAGTGCATACGCAAACTCAACCTTAAAACCCTGCTCTAATGAATAAAGGGGATTTCTCTAAAATATTACACACTAGAAAAGATAAAATGTTTCACCTTCCCCTCTAAACCACTTAACTTTGTATGAAACCATAAATCCTACTCTGACATGATAAGTAAATAAATGACGAGTGTCTGAACAAAATTCCTTCAATACCCTCCATTACCAATAGAATGCAGGTGCTCGAAATGATGCCTTTTTAATTTCTCTTCACGTGTTCCACAATTCTAAAGTTCTGCGACATTATAATTCAAATACTCACAGAAACAATATAATTCAAAATAATTACCTTCACACGTTTAAAATGCTGCTCCTGTTGCATCATCCGCTTTTCCTCATCTTCCAGTTTTCTCCTCTCCAGCTGTTTTAGCAAATAATATCAGAAAAAAAATTCATCATTCACTATAACTAATTCTCTTTTTTTGAAAAAAGGTTAAATATAATAATGATAAAAAACAACTCGTACTTGAAATTTCCTTTGTTCGTCTGCTTTTCGACGGGCATCCTCGGCAAATGCAACTTGTCGTGCTAGTTCTTGTCTTTGACGGATCTGCTGCTCTTCATGTTCTGCTGCTTTGAGGTGAACTCCAGCAGCTTCCAGCAAGTGCTTGCAGTAACAAACATGAGTATCAATCTTCTTCTCATCAAACCCATGAAAGTGGAGGTTGGAGGCAGCAGATAACTGACTAAAAACACGAACAGCATTTTCCAGCTCCACTACTGTTGAACGCACCTAATAGATTTCAATGGGGCAAAAAACAATTAATGCAATAGCCATGCAAAAGAGAAGGAGATGTGGGGTCAAAGATTGGAAAAGCATAATGGAGTGATTTAATTTGTGATCTAAAGGTTATTATAGATAGATTCATAATTTCCATGGTTTTAAAACTCAATTATACCTGAGACGCTAGGAGCTAAATAAATAATATGCCAACTCAAAAATTGACCAAGGATGATTATGCAGAAAACTAGGGTTAAAATCCTGTTCCCTAACAGGTATCGCCATCTTTACATTGAAGTAAAACAAATCATCATAATGTTTGGTGAAGTATAACAAATCCTAATATCTGACTGCTGATAAGACCAGAACGTTTGATCATCTTTCTGGGTGTTGATTCCTTTCTTTTGGATAGCCATGGACGGGTTGTTTTCATCATCAAGTTTGAAGAAACTAACACGTAATAAATTGGTTATTCAGATTCACAAAGCTTCAGAGTAAATTCAGATCAAGTCCAATCTCAGAATATTAAAGCTAGGAATGTCTTATTCCCCGCTCTAGCCCTATAGGCATTGATGAAATATTTTCTCATGTCTTATAAAAGAAAATGTTTCTGGACTGTCCTGTCCACGTCCAAAAAAAAAATGAAAAAAGGGGAAGGATCAATACTAAAAAGAAGAATGAGCCAACTCCATTATGACATCTTGAAACATCTGTTTTTTCATCAAACTGATAGTAATTTAAACTAATTATGCCAAAACTTGAGGGAATGATGAGCAATCCAGGGTTAACTTATTAATGACTTCAGACCTTATAGAAATGAAGAAATGTCTCCACAGATATTTAACAGCAATAAATATTTAGGCCAAAAGTATCGAGAAACAACCTCATCTGCTGTCCTTTTTGTCTTTTGTAGTGTTGAAGCTGAAAACTTCTGCATTGCTACACCAGCATCAAATCTTAAAGTATAATTTGAGGGTGCCAAGTGGATAGCTCTCAGTAGGGTCTTTTTGCAGTCTTGCCACAGTTCAGCTTCATAAAATGTACGAGCTAGATAGAGAAGAATTTGATAATCTGTATTGTAATAAAACTTCCGCAAGCAATTTTGATACTGCAAGATAACAATTGGCATTAATTCATGGATGCAATAACGAAAATAACTTTTTGTTAGTAAGATGAGGACAACTATAAATTTTCAGCGAACAAGATATAAGTATATACCATTTTCACAGCTAATGAAAAGTTTCCTTGAGCAAAATAGACATGTGCCAAATTGATCCACACATCTGGCATCTGGACAAAAATGTTCCCACTTGCAGCTTCTTGAACCTACGACAACTGAAAGTTAGCAAAAGGTGCAAATAACCATAACTTTACAAGATACAGGTTTTAAAAGGTTGTAGTATGAAGTAAGAATACAAGTGCTCACTTGTGTAAAAATATCTTTCGAAACATCAAATTGACCTTTTTCAGCCAGGATGACCCCAGCTCCATTAGCGGCATACAAGTTAGCAGGATGTTGTACCAGAACCTGCTCAATTAAAAACAAATACCAACCATTATACTGCAAGATTAAAGACAATTTCCACAATTTACAATGAAGAAAACCCAGAAGATTGAACATAGGCCACTGAATAATCAACATTAATTTATGAAGTAGTTTAATTTCTTTATCCATTAAAATTAGGCATCAAAAAACTCATACAAAAAGAACATTTTTAAGATCTTTTTAATATAATATTGCACATGCTCTTTTTAATAGAAAATAATACATTCATCATCATCCATTTAAACAAGTGCATTAAATGAGTCTTTTAATCAAAAACATTGCAGTAAATGATAAAAGATTCATGAACTTCATTCCATCAACTTTGACAGACCAAAGTTACTTAAATTTAATCTGAATGCCAGCAGAAACATTTGACCATGTGTGGATATTGAAGCAATCAAACCTAATTAACAAAATGAGGAGCGAGATAGGGAGGATAAAAGAAAAGAAAGAGAACTGAAAACATACCCTTGTATATAGTTCTTTAGATTTTTCCAAATGGGTAGCCTCCAACTTGGGATTTCTTTTCTCATTTCGAAGTGCAGCAAAGTAGTTCCAGTTTCCCTGGCCAAGGTTAAAAGAAAAATTAAAGAAAATAAAAACGATGTTTGAATGGTAGATACAGATAATAGTGGAGAAAAG